GGATTTTTATCTTAAGCTTTCCTATCATGTTTAGAGTCTGAATTCAAACACTGTACTTTTTAAGCTACAGTATGCCTGGCCTATAACTTGGTTCAAGGCATTGATATTTATGTCATTATTGCCTGCTAATTATACTAACAAGAAAACGCAATTCCAGTCTCCCAAAAAGGTAAAATTCTACTGTTTTTTGTATATTTCTAGAGTTGTTACATTAGGCTAGGTAAATGACAGTACATTTAGGAATAAGTGCACAATGGGAGCTTTATATCTTTCATAAAGAACACATTCAAATCCAAACTTAAATATCAAATTTAATTTATTAAGAACTGGGAGTAGGAGACAGTACAAAAAATAGAATATTAAGTTTTTTTCTTATTAAGGAAAATAATATTTTAGTTCATACATAAATTAAGTAAATAGTTCTATTTAAATTATGTATTTTTTTCATCAGAAGAGTTACTAACAAAGGGTCTCTTCTTGTGTCTCTCAACCTTTTGAGTCAATGGATTGGATTCTGACTAATTTCAGTTGAAGCTTGTATTTATTGTGTTCTTTTCTTCCTTTGACTTTTTTTTTTTTTTTGGATGTGTGGCTTAAAGCCGGTTTCATTAATGAAAAAAATAGAAAGATTGAAAACATGTGAAATGCTTTAGAGGACATTAATTATGTTTTATGTTTCTGTTGATAAAGGTTCTAACACTAGGTGGAGAATCAGTAAATATCAGAAAGTAACTTTTAATTAAATCTTACCCTGGAAAAGAGTGTCCTCCCTTATAAAGGACTGTTTTTACTCATTCCCGTGCTTGTTCTGTGGCCCAAACTCAATAGGTGATTTGATTCTGATTTTACAGAAATGGAATATTCCATGAACATGTTCCCAATCAAAGTGATTAAAATTGTGTTGGCCTTAATACTCCAGATTCCTTAATTTCAACTCTCCCTGATATTTTTTTCCAAACAACTGAATATGAATATTTCTTTTGCCGTGTCTTAACTTGAACATTACCCTAGTGATAGCTTCATATTTCCTTCATCTCATCATTCAGAAGCTATTTATCCTTTTTTTTTTTCCCACTGCCTCCTTCAAGTTCCCTCTCCCCCTATCATTTTTTGCCTGTTCAGCCCCCACACATTCAGGCGTATTTATTCCCGTAAAGATAGTGACACTTAGGGTTTATTCTAAATCTGTGTTGCCCAGTGACTAAAGACTTAAGCATGCACTGCTTCTATGCTTACCCTCCTACCTAACTTGACTACTCAACTTTTTTTATTCCATTCTCTCAGAAGCCTCTCTTTTGGCACAGTTCATTTAACACAACACTGCCAGGCCACTAATTGATTTCTGAAATCTGACATTTGTTTTTTGTTTTCTCCTATCTTCCCTAATGGTACAGCACTACTAAGCAGGAAGGAATGCAAAGAACTAGAGAGTTCATAGTAGTTGAGGATCTGTCCATTCACACTGCCTGGCTTCACGCCAATGTCGAACCTGGAACATTTGAAAAATATTTATCAAGTTTTAACCCTTTTGCTAAGCTGATGAAACAGATCTTCGGCTGTAGCATTTGTGTTAACAACAACAGCAGTAAGCTTGGTTGGACGTGTTCTTTATGTGTTCCGCATGGCAAATGTCTCAGAAAAGGATTACTTGCCAGTGTCCGTACTATTGTACAGTGTTAAGCTAGTTATTTTCTTTGAGATTCGCAGAGCTGGGCGTTTCAGAGAAACCATTACCTAAAAGTGGCAGCCCTATTTCATGAATACTTATGCCAGAAATGAAATGTAAATAAGTACAGAGCTGAAAAGAATGTTTTTAGTTTTTCTACTGTAAATAACTGTAAAGTCCCAACCATAGCTAGGTTCACATTTATATTTCATTAACAGTGAACAAGACTATAAAACATATTGAGAATTTATCAAATATTTCCGTTTTTTTTGCAATGGGAAAGCCTTTGTAAATGATAGCTGTTAAAAAGTGATGTCAAATTATACAAGCATTTCCAGTAAAATAAATGGATTTTATTGCAGTGAAAAGTTGGGTTGAAATAACAGGCCACTGAAACTCTGATAAAAAGAAAGACAAAAGGAAAGATCTAGATAGGTTTTCTAAAAAGAATTAAAATATAAATAATACTGAATTGTATTAAATCTAAACCAGATTTTGACTAAAGTTAAAAGAAAAAAAAGAGACTGCAAAAGTTCTATTAAGAATTATCTATATCATATACAGGTGTGGTCATGTTATCAGTGTTAAGTAAAATTCTTTCAAAGTTCAAAATTTTAAAGTTACATTAAATGCAATACCAATCCTATAATCTGTTTTTAAGCTGTTTAATTCAAGAAGCAGGTTTAATAATAAATAAAATCAGGACAGCTTTTTAAAGATGAAGGTGGATAGTATGGGATTGTTTGCATAGACTAAAAATTGCAAAAACACTTAATACTTTGGTAACATGAAAGCAGCCATCGACCGTTCTCTGAAAGCAGGGATTATAGCTATAAAAATGAATCATGTATTAACAGGAAGAAAAAGGAGAAAAAAATCTATTTTACAGCATAATTGTATCTTTTCTTATAATAAATATATGTAATACTTTAGGTACATATTTTTTTTTTGTCTACACACTGAAAATGAGATCCATATCATTGATAGAGACTCCTCTTTGAAGTGAACGTTTTTCTAAGAACTTTTTTTATTAAAGCTGTTTTACTGTGATGAGTGGGCTGCTGGATATGTAAAACTGCCTAATAGTATTGTACGCTGTCAACATATAGTACATACGTAGTAATATTCCAGGCATTTTTATTGCAGTTTATTATTCTAGGCTCCCAATAAGCCAGATAAAATCATGTATAAGAACAGTAAGGATTAAGGGAAGTGGTTTCCTTAGGTGATTGCTGGCAAAAATTCACCTTCGCATTATAACATAGTAAATGGACGGCAATATATTTGGCTATTATTTTCCTACAAATTTTGATTCCTACTTCTCAGAGCTGCTACTGTGTGTCCCATGTTTGTCACTTCTTTGGTGTCTTTTCGTAGGAAAAGGTGCCACGGTGTTAGGTAAACGTGCTGTTTCTGTCCCGTAAATATTAAACTCCATTTTTTTGAACATACATGCTAGTAAAAATAAGTCAAAGACGTAATGCCTATTTAAAGATTTTTTGTATTTATTAGTGCTTTAATTAGATTATATGCTTCGGTTAAACATTTAAATATTAAAAATTTCAAAATTTATATGGCCCATCCCCCTCTCTTCCACACACTGATACGACGTAGAAATGTGTGTGAAAACTTCTCACCATTTAAATACTGAAGGAAAAATACAAGCGTTTTACGCAAGGATTTTTAAAAAAATGCTTGCCATTACACTTTTTATCCAGGACATTCCGAATTTGTTTTGCTAAATGGATATGTTCACTGCTAAAGATACAGAGACGAGTTGTTTTTAAATTTGTTTATCACACTGCCCCTAGTTTTCCGCTAAAGAAGGGTACATTTTGTATATTTAAAAATACACACTCATTAAGCAGTCTTTGAAAAACCTTAGCGCCCCCACCAAACCGCCGTCTGGGTTTCAGCTTTTGAGTTTCAGGTCCTTGCACAACACCTAAGACGTGCAAAACCCTTTTTCTCCCTAATCCAGCTATAGAACAGTCCGAAGAACTCTCCCTCAGCGTCTCCACCCTAATTCCCACTCTTCCGAGATTCCACCCCACTTCTCTCCTTCCCTCCGCCCCCGGCTGCGCCAGCCCAATCTGTCAGAGAAGTTGTGTACAAACTGCGCGGCCGCTCTGCGCGCGAAGCTCGTGGCCCGAGAGGGGTGCGGTCGGCCCAGTGGAGGCGGAGCCCTTGGCCAAGCTCTCCTTTCTCATAGGCTGGACGCTCTGGCAGGGCCCGCCCCAGGGCCTCGGGACTGGCGGTGATGCTGCCAGTCAGGGCGGCGGGCCCCGCCCCCTCCAGAGTTGGGTGAAATAGAGGCGGGCGTCAAGTGTCAGTAGTCGCTGGGCAGGTACGCGCTCTAGCAGCTCGCTCGCGGAGAACGGCGACGGCGGGAGCGGGCTCCGACTAGGGAGAGGGCGCAGCGCGGTGGGGCGGGGCGGGAGAAAGTGGCTGTCCGGAGGACGTTGGCGTTTACGCGTGATCGAGCGGAAGAGTTTTGCTTATCGTGCGCGCCTTCGAAAACCGCGCCTGCTGTTGGCTGAGGGGTCCGCCCGGGAGCCCTCCTCCGCCCCCGGCCCCGCGCCGAGCTCGCCGGTCCGCGCCTGAGTGGGCGAGGTGGGAACGCGCGCTCGACCCGCGCCCGGAGCCGCCCCCCAAGTGCCCATGGCTACGCGGGTGCTGACCATGAGCGCCCGCCTGGGACCCGTGCCTCAGCCGCCGGCCCCGCAGGACGAGCCCGTGTTCGCGCAGCTCAAGCC